GCACAGCTTTGAAACGGCAGCTTTCTGGGCTGTGCTCCCAGTGCAAACTATGGGTCTTTCAGGAGGCTGAGCATTTAAATGGGGTTTGTGGACAGTGTGCTGCAAGTTACTTGGTGGCAGCATGTACCAACTTGTTATCAGAGTTGAGGTGGTGAGGACAGCTCCCACCTGGCAGTCTCAGAGACAGTGGACAGACTCTCACCATGTAGGACTGGGCAGAGCATGCGGGCATGGACAGACTTTCACCACGTTGGACTGGGCAGAGCATGCGGGCAGGGCCATGTTTGCTCCAGCAAGGCTGCCGCTTAGGCTCTTAAGAAGTACTTAGCATGTCGAGAAGCGCTTCTGGTCAGAAAATTACAGATACACAATAAAGACAGATTCAGATGAAAAAGACCTCTAAATGGGTCACAGTGTTGGATAAATGTATGTAGGCTGGGAGGAAGAAGATGGAGTCAGGAGAAGCCATGGAGCCGCTGCCAGAGACAGACATGCTGAAACTTTGCCAGCAGGCCACAGACTCATGGTGATACACAGATTAATAGAGATGGGTTAAATTAAGATGTAAGAGATAGCCAATAATAAGCTATAGCTAATAGGTCAAGCAGTGATTCAATTAACACAGTTTCTGTGTGGTTTTTTCAGGTTTGAGAGGCTGGGAAAGAAATAAGCAGTCTCCATATAACAACACACTGTCACTATGATCACCAGAGGTCTAGCTCTCTCCATATGGGTAATCTGAAGCAGGCTTTCTCCAAGACACTCAGTTCCTTCTGATTCCACCAGAAGCACCCTCATGAGGATGTTTCTACCAAGTCTCATCAAAGTAGTCTCAACTTTCTATAGAAGAACTCTAAAATTTCCTCTATCTATGGTCCAATTCTACAATTACACTTGTATATTTAAGAATTCCAGGGAGTAATACCCTCCTTCCTTGAACCAAAACCCAAATGAGTTCTCTGCTAGAGAATAACAGAATTCCATCTCTGTCACCTTGGTTAAGCGTCAGTGGGGCCACAGCCTATGCTGAGTCTGCTCCTTGCTTCTGGCTTCCAGTGGCTGCTATCATTTTGTTTGTTGTGGTTTGCAGAGTCTTGCAGAAAGGATCATCTGTGGAAGGCTTGTTGGTACTGTTGAGAGGTGATGGACTGTGAGGATGCCAACCTCACGAAAGGGTAACTCATTGACCTCAGAGGTGAAATGGCCATCAGGGGGCAAGGCCTAGTAGAGGCATGTGCATTTAGGGTCATTCTTGTCCCAGAACACTTTAAAGCTGTTTGCCAGGGCTGTAAGGTGAGCAACCATGGGCAGAGACCTCTTGAAGCAAACTGTTCACTCCTAGAATGGTTTCTCTCCACTTTATCAAGGAAATAGAAATTTTACATGCTACTTTTCTATAAGTTCATGCTTCCTCCCACCGTCCACTCCCCCCCCCAAAAAAGGAAGGGAGGACACAGTAATAAGTGTTGTAGAGAATAAGAAGTATAAGGGGACAGGACCTATGAACTCCCCACACAGCCAGAAGATCTGAGGCTCTAGCAGGAAGGGAAATCCACAAAGCTCTACATGACAGACTCACCTTCCAACATTTTATTTCCTGGCTCTCATTTGCCTTTTAGTAGAGCACACTTTGTTTGCTAACATCAGCTTCTTATGAACCTGGTAGATGGGTTCTCGAGTACTGGGTAGGTTTCCAGTCTCCCCTTCCAGTCTCTGTCACATGACAAGAGGCAGTAAGTTGCCCAGTGACCTATTTTCTCAAGTTTGAAGATACAATAATAATCATACTAAGAGGAGAAAAATGATGCTATCACAGCAGAAATGGCTTTATCTACTCCCCTTAGAAGATACAACACATAATATATGCTATTTATGCAAATGGGTAAATTGGCATAGGAAGTCTGAATCTCATTTAGGCTTTTCCATTCAAAGTATAGAGCGCAGTAGCCACTACCCATCTTGTATTCTAGTAAAATTGTTATGTAAACCAGCACTAGTGATTTATTTATTTAAAAACTTATGTTTATTTGAATGACTCTGCTTTAATGAGACTAATTATCATTTACACTAGGCTATGATCTTTATGATCATCTTAACTCTAATACCCTGACTAGCTCTGACCTGCATATTATAGCATTCATGAGCTTTGACACAAGATGGTGACTCAAAGACCACTTTGAGTTTGAGAACTTTGCCCCCGGAGAGAATGTGATTGGGAGATACAGGTATTCACATCTCCTATGGCTGATCCATGCAGTGGGGGCACTGCCCACATATGAGGGACTTTTCATTCATTGTTTATGGAAACCTAGTTACATATTTGAAGAAAGAAAATTGTTTCCAAATTCATAAACTTTATAGGTTTTTCTGAACCAAATATATATATACAGTTGATGTCTGTAACTCAAGACGCAAGTGACTAAGTCACTGGATATCCAAATGTTATGGTAGAGAGGGTTGAGACAGACAGGGCCTTCATTGGGAAGTTAGTTCTTATCTCTAGGTCTGCTCAGTAATTCCAATTGTTTACGTATTCCATTTAGGCTGCAGGAATAGAATCCCACAAACCTGGAGGCTAAGGAAAGAACATTCTATTTCTCACCATTCTGGAAGCCTGGAAAGCCGAGACCAAGGCACCAGCAGCTCATCTGTAGAGGCTGGAGACAGCTGGCCATCCTTTTTCAATTTGCAGAAGGCAGAGAGCCGTCTAGCCAGCTCTCTCTCCTTTCCTTGCATGCCAAGCTGGCTGTGGCCCTCCTCCATGACTACCTACCTCCTATAGCCCCTCTCCAACAGCACCTACTGGAAACTGAGTTGACAATACACAGGAAAGCCCAACATGCAGGGTGTGCCAGCCCTGTCTCTGGAGATTGCAAAGCCCCATCCCCGTATTTGCTGGTGCATTGTTGCTTGTTCTTCTCGTTTTTATAATGCTATGGCCAAACTCACCTCAAGAAACATGAGTAAATGTCAGTAACATTTACTTGTATTTAAGACTAATGGTGATAATTTTAAGAGACAGTGTGTGGGGGAAAAAAATCAAAGATGGGACATGACTACCCGCCAATCCCTCCAAAAAAGAAAAAAATTCCTATTGTCTAATCCTGGTGGGCACTTCTGGTCTGTTGATCAGTATTATTAGGCGGACAGTCCAGCCCACCAGCTCTCTTCCTTCTACAACTTTCCCTAAGTGTGCCCTCCTTTGTGAGTCTCTCACTTGCCTTATTGACACGCAGTGACCAGTGTCCAATCCTCAAACGCTGCTTTTTCCTTGATACTCCACTTTTCTTTTCCTCTACTCAGTGTTTCCTGAAAATTTAATCATGAGTTATTCCAAGCATTTTTTAAATTTACGGAAGACTTGCATTTAAGTTCTAGATCTGTTAGTTGTGGTTCTGGGTTCAACCCCCATGAAACCCATTTTTATAGTAACTGTTTCTCTGTGTTTCCTTCCCTGGGGGCGGGTTTAGTAACTCATGAGGACAAGGTGTCTAGGACTCCATTAAACGCCATGCAACAGAAAACAATTCTGTCAGGCCTTGCTGTTGCGGGAGGAAAGGAAAACAAGAGTATGCAATAGAAACCTGCTAGGCAGCTACTCAACTCCCACTGTGTGTGTGTGGGGGGGGCAACCTTCAAGGTTAAGATAGGATTGGCAGACCCTTCAGTTATACGAATGAGAAAACACGGGGTAGGGACACTTGTGGCTCATCTGGAGGATCCAGATTTGACTCCCAGCATCCACATGGCAGCTCACAAACATCTCTAACTCTAGTTCCGAGGGATTGGATGCCCTCTTCTGGCCTCTGAAGACACTACACACACAAGGGCCCATAGACACTTGCAGGTAAAATACCCAATCATGTAAAATAAAAACAAATCTTTTTATAAATGACAAAAATGGAGAGAAATGCTGATCATAAGGTCTCAATAAATACTGTCGACTGTCATGATTTCAGCATGGGAACGGCAGCACTGTGAGGAGCAGGAAACAGCAAGTTGATTTCCAGCCTTAGCACTTCCCAGCCAGTCCTCCAGCTGAGAGGCTTAGGAGAGAATGAGGTGAACCAAGTGTGCTGAGCCTCTGCAAGACCACAAACATGTAACTATTTACAAGTACATACAGTTTGTCATACACTTCTAAGTTCCAGTTCTTGGCAATTCCTCGGGAGTGATCCCCAGTGAGTCTACCGTGGATTCCAATTGCAGCAATTCTAATCTATTTCAAGATGGAAATCATTTTTCAAGCTCGTTCACTGAGTAAAATTAGAAAATGTATTCTAGAATCAGACTGAGAGGTGGGGGAAGGGCATCCTTCGGCCACATTACTCACCTGTTACAGAAATTAGAGATGGAGACTTGGTGACTTAGTGTCACAAACCCATTAACTCCCAGGCCTTGCACCTCCTCCATGCCCATCCTTCAGTAAATCAGTTCTACCAGGTCAAACTTCGTTACTTTCTAGAACGTTGCGGGAAGTTAAGGAAGAGTTGAAGTTATCTGCGGTTTGAACCCCGGCTGGGGGTCTTAGAGCACCCGAGTGCCTGCTTCCCAGCACATCCTCTGCAGCAGACAGTCTGCAACAGGGACTGACCAGAAGGCTTCTTCCAGATGCTTTAAGGCAAGCCACACACTTCCAGTCATCCTCCTTGGGTGGGCACTACTCAATACAGAAGTGTCTTTTCAGGGAAAGCAAGTTACAGACCCATAAAGACCAACTCTAAGACTTTAATCAGCTGGAGTCATAACTAAACACAAATGGGAGGAAAAGAAACCATGAAGACTTCTTAAGAAGGTACTTTATGAAATCTGAAGACAAGGAGACAATGGCAAACAGTTGACAGCATCCATGAGACCGAAGAGATGTCTGGGGCTTAGGCACTCAACAGTAGTTCATATGTAGGAAATATTGCTGATACAGCCTAAATTATGTGCACACAGGATGACTGTCATGTTCTCGGGAAAAGGAAATGCAAGCATGTTCTTCCACACCATTAGAGTAAGATTCATTGCTTTCAGTGAAACAGTTTTATTGAACAATTAGTTACTTTAATGTCCTACAATACATGAATAGAATTTTTAAAAAGACTGAATACAAACTATCTAACATTAATCAAATTGTTCATGTATCAATTTATTGCATGTCAGTACAGAAAAATAAAAAGTATACCTTAAAAGAAATGTAAAAAACAAAACCAAATTAAAAATAAAACTCACTTTCCTTGCCATGGTTAGTGCCCAGGTATGAGGACATTCAAATTTGAGCTATAAAACTTTATTACTATTTCAAAGGAAATATGGCAATAACAAGAATTATGGCTCAGATTATGAAACTGAACTAACTTACTTCATACTGAATGCACCTCACTGTGGAAGCTGAAACTTCAGCATACACTGTACTGACAGAAACTCTGTATAAATTATGCTGCACACACACCCGTGATATACGTATATATTGCACTTTATGTCAAAAAGTATGGGTTATACAGTCCTGTCTTTAATCTACACTTTCATACTACAAAATATAAACGGAGGTATATCTGTGCCCTTGGCCAGCGTTGACTGGGGAGAGGAGGTGCATGCGCACTGAGAACACCAAGGGCTCTGCATTTTCTAGCCAGCCAGCTGAACAAGTGCTCCACTGCCAACTCTAATCTACCTGAGTCACATGAAGACACCTAAGCTCAAGTCAACATCCAAAGGAGGTACTTATGACTAATTCTTTCCCTTTCAGTTTTTAAAAAATAGATAATTATCAAACATGATGGAAAAAAGGCCCAGGGGATGACCAAAGGACTCAAATATGGCAACGATGGCCTCGATTCGTGGTTCTCAACCTTTCTAATGCTGTGACCCTTTAGCACAGTCCCTCATGTTGTGGTGATCCTCAACTATAACATTATTTTTGTGGTTACTTCATAACTGTAATTTGCTACTGTTATGAACCATAATGTAATTATCAGTGTCTTCGGATGGCTTTAGGCGACCCCTGTGAAAGCGTCATTTGATCCAAAGGGTTTGTGACCCACGGTTGGGAACCACTGGCCTAGATGAAATGGTGACTTCCTTCAGTGGATCACCTTACTGACTCCTGATCCTCAGGAAGAAAGGCACGCTAATACAAACCACTAATAAGATCGGCTTCCACGGTAGTTTACATATTATTTAATCATCTCTACCTGACCTATTCCCACCCAAGCCAAATTGAACGGGAGGGCAAGCACAGCAGGCACGAACCCTCAGCTACACACATGCCATCACCTATGATGTCAACAGTGCCATGACCTGTCTCATTTCAAGTGTTTCCAGCCCACCTGTGATTTAAGCTGTTGTGTGACCGACTCATTTTACTGCAACATTTAATGGGTGTCATCATGGTCAAATAAATGTTGTGAAACACAGGGCCATGTTGTACTAGGACGTTGACTGAAAACGGGATTCTGCAATTCTCTGCTATTCATCTCAGCAATTAAGTATCCCCACCTCTCTGTTTAAGAGTGGAGTCACCAACTGCTGTCAAGTGGTTTCTAGTCTATTGACACCTTTTGTCTGTAACAAATACTTTCTTCCTTGTTTGCCGTATTCTCTGTACGATCCTCTTTTTTTTTAAAAAAAAAATCTGGTTTTCTCTATTATTCTTGAAAACAAGGAATTTTAGATTTTTTTCCAAGTAAACCGATCTTGACAGGTTTAGGATAATTTTAGTGTTTACAAATTCATAGTAGCTGAATAATTTAAGATTATCCATTTCTCTCACTGCTATTGAACAATGTGCTAGAAATCGACAGACCATGACCATTCCCCCTAAAGATGACTGATTGAGGTGTAGTCATGTTTCACTGAGACCAAGTGAGAAAGTATTAAAGCTGATGCCGGGGCGTGTCACGGCCCCTGAATGTATGACTTTGTTTTCTATCCCTACTCATCAAAGAAACTGCATCACACACAAAGCTGGTAACAGGAGATGCCCTACAACTCTAAACACAGCTCTGTCTTTGCTGCCTAAGAGACGGTTCCTTGAAGAGGGCAAAGGTGGTAGGTGTGGTAGAGTGTTCTTCCAGCCCTCAAGTCCCAGCCCGCGAATCTGAACAGAAGGAGCAGCAGGGAAAACAGCCGGGAAGGGGAAGGGGTTGCTGTCCTATTTCATCTGGAGAACATGTACAACCCAAGCTGGCTGGTCACTCACCCCTCCAGACCAAGTGACCACAGATGCAGCACTCTGTAAGCGTCAGAAGTGACCAAGTATGCATGAGAGTTCATTTCTGCAGAAAGTACATTCCGCCTGTTACTTTTTCGGTCCTTCCAGCAGATGAACATTCGGGACAGTTGTTCTACACAGCAAAGACTGACAGGATGAAAAGCAGCCTTTAATTGTGTAGTGAATTTACACATACAAAATACACCCTCCATGATGAGTACCAACTCTTTAAAAAACAAGACTCTTTACAATTAATAATTTATAGAAAATCATTATTCTTTAGAAATTATACTCGCTATACATTATTATTTTCTAAACATTGGCATAGAATGAAGGCTAAGAATGCTACTTGGCAAAAGTATTTCTAGCCCTATGTTCATGGAAAGTTTTAAATTAAGGTCAAGATTATTGACTGATTATTACTCTGCTCTAGCTGCTTGTGGAAGGTCAATAAATATAGCTAAGTGATCTGCAGTCGTGTAGGCGCGCTGACCTAATGCGCAGGGCTCAAGCGCATCTATCTGGTGATAGTGAGGACTGCGGGGAAGGGCTTGGCAGGTCTGACGTCATGGCTGCATGCTAGCACACGTTCACAGGCTTCAGAGGCTTGCTACTTTGTCAAGCACAACCTCCTGCCCTCAACTCCTTAACGCTACCTGTGTGACAGGCTGGCCAAAGCTTTGGGACCTTTCAGACCCAGCTGGAGCACGGACAGACTGCCTACAACTGTTACTTTCTATAGAGCCCCATTACACACAACTGAAATATTAAGTCATACTTGGTTATTTGCTTTTGCGGTTTTCTTTCATAATGTAATTTACTTGCACAAAGTACATAAATGATGCTTGTCTCTATCAGGACAGACACATCCCAGGTACTGCGACTTCAGTCAGATGGACATTGCATAAGGCTGTGTGCACACACTGGTTGAGACAATCTACCTCAACTATTGGCTACTTCTAGCCCTTGTTGTGGCTGTTACTGTTTTAGCTGGAGATTCATAAACTGGCAGAGGCTAAAATTCTGTTTAACTAAAATCACGAATGTTACAAAGTTCAATGTGCAAAGAAAGCTACAGTACAATGCTAACTTCCTAGCCACGAGCCATGATGCAGACAGTACCTCACAGAAACACAGCACATCTACATTGGAAAATGGTCCTGTTTATTATTAGGAAAAAGCCGGATCTCAGCAGCAGAGCAGAGAATCTGCTCACAGGCCTCACACTCATTCCTCACCACAAACAAAATAGAGTTTACATAAAAATAGATATAACCCAGGAAACCATATACATTGGCATGTGACCAGAGTTATTTACATTAAAAATATCGCATTGCATAAGTCAAGAATAAAACACCACCATGCACTTCATCTTAATGTTTAAGGTGACAACGCAGTAGCACTAGGCTTGCTTACCGTGATTGTCCCAATATTTACTAAAGGAATGACATCTGAAGGTTTCTTGTTTGCGTCTCCATCTGATTACAACATAGATTTTACCACTTTACCAACAGGAAACTTTTGGATGAGCTCTAGCACACCAGCATCTTAAACTAAAGACAAGGGTGTTAACCAGGCTAGAAGTTCTGGTGGGACAATGAAAGATCTCAAGAACAGTTCTGAAAATACGGAGAGTTATAGGACGGAGTGCTGAGGCCCGTCAACGCTCAGTCGCTGTGCAGACCCCGTGAACACACACCCAGAGTGGACGTCACTCTACACAAACCGAAACCCAAGGCATCCATCGAGAGGGTGGCATTAGATGATGGTGACGTTGGATGATGTTTTCGTCATTCCCTCAGGAGAAGGACTCTTGATCACTTCCTTGATGAACTGCTCGAGCGCAGTGAAGTAGCCCTGGCACTGCCACGTGTCGTTGTGCGTCCCGTCTGGGAAAATGGCCAGTCTCTTAGTCCGGGACGGGGACAGCTCGTAGAGCTGCTTCATCATCACGGGCGGAATCAACTGGTCAGAGAGGCCAGAGATGAAGAGAGAAGGCATCCTGCACTGGGAGATCTTCCTGTAGGACAGAAACTTATTTTTATAGCACCATAGAGGAAGATACCGCATTGGGAAGAAGGAAAATAGTGTGCTGGCCATGTGTGGGATGCTTAGGAATGTGTTCTCCACCATGATGGCTGAAATCCTGTGAGAATTCTCGGAAGCCAAGTGAATGGCCACCGCTCCTCCTAGGGAGCGGCCAAAAAGGAAAACCTTTGTTTTATCGAGGTCAGGTCTAGTCATCACATAGTCTAGCACAGCTTCAGAATCCAAATACAGTCCTTCTTCACTGGCTTCTCCTTCGCTTTTCCCATACCCCCGATAGTCAACCAGCACGAGATTCACTTTGAGGTTCACCAGCATAAGCAGTGCGTTTGGTAATCTGTGGCCTATGTTGCCCGCATTCCCGTGAAAATAAATTATAGTTGGGGAGTAGGGGGAATTGTCTCCAGTGTATCTCACCAAGATCAGATTCAGGCGCACTCCATCTTTGGTTCTGATGAAAATATTCTCATGTGGAATCCCCGTGGGCATGGGAACATAGAGGCGGGAAGAGGACGGCTGTTCTGGAAAGTAGAGCAAGACATCCTGGAACTTATACAGGATCCCTGCGATGGACACGAATATCAGCAGAAGTAAGACAATGCCTCCGTACAGATGAAAAGTCACTATCAAAGGCAAAAGCGAGATGCGGCAGAGAGCCCAAGACCAGGATGCCAAGGCTAGGAGCCATCTTTCAATAAAGTTCCACAGCATCCAGGATTTTTCCATGGTAGCTCCACGTAGGTATCCTAGGAGACACAGAGAGAACCAGTGACTCAGTAGCACCCTGACTTCAGAGGTAAGACCTACCATGAAAAGTGCTCAGTACTCTAGGACTCTGTCCTCACAATTCCTTACTAGCTCTACACTCTGTCTTCCCAGCCCGCAGTCACACCGTGAAAAGGCGCTTAAAACAAAATTTTAAGACCATTTCCATTTTTGTCCACAAGGAGATGGAGACGTGGGTCTGGCTGCAGTTCTAGCTCTACAATAATTCATGAGGCAGCACGCTTCTTAGAGCCCCTCTTTCCCTCACTTCTTTCAACCCTTATACATTGGTCAAGAGTCAGTTATTTCATAAAGGAGTTTCTTTTACTATTGCTTCATCTGTTGCTACACTCAGCTTTTTTTCCTTAAAGATTCTATAAACAGTCAATTCTATATACAGACAACTTTGAGCAACTTCTGATCCTCCTGCCTCCGCATCTCCAGTGCTAGGATTACAGCGTTACACCATTATGTTCAGTTTTATATGATGCTGGAAGCTAAACCAGGGGTTCCAGCATGCTAGGCAATTGAAATCATGCCCCCAGCCCCCACATCTTCTTGCTTGGATTTTTATTAAAAGCAATCACGTTGAACATAAATAATAGCATAACCCTTTTATCTTTAATTTCTGAAGTAAACAACACCATTGTTGTTTTGTTATAGGAAAAGAAACACTGAAGGTCAAATAAAAACACAACTTAAAGAAAAAAATACCCAAGCACTGCAGGTATTAAATGTGGCTAAAGCACAACGGTAGGATGCAGTCAAGACACACTCAACAGACCACTGCAGTCGCTGCTTGCTTACCGCATGCTCCCTGTTGCCTGTCAACAGTTCACACAGAGCTACTTTATCGCTTGGGGCAGCAGACCCTGATGGCGCATGGCATGCAAGCTTCCCATGTAAAGCTTGAACTTATTTTTTAATTGGATTAAGGAAAACTGAAAGAAAGTGGCTCCAACTTGATATAAAATACAACGGCCGTGGAGGCAGCATATATAGGTCAATAAGAGAACATCTGCTAGCATGTGTCAAGCCTGGGATTTCATCCCCAGCTCTGCAAAGTAACAGGAACAATGACAATGATTTTAATTATGACCAAAAAACAGATTTAAAAGGTTTGGAATAATATACACTCATTGAGCCTGCATACACATTGGAGTATTGCAAAATATGGTAAGATATCATTTAAGAAGCAAGTCAAAATCCTTATTGCTCTTTTCATAGCCCACTTAGTTATCTGACAGAGCTGTCAATGATGAGTGGCCAACAATAAGGAACTCAAGGCTCCTCACAGTGACTCCCTAGACAAAATCACATGGAAACCACACTGCCCTTACGCCTCTGTTCAACAGCTCCCACTCTATCATCTAACTCCACTCTAACTCAATAGGAAAAAGCAAGCTGAAACCGCACTAGAAACCCGTGGCTATGGAAAGTGTGTCTGCAATTGGATAAGTAACTTAGTTTTCAAATAAAAGACAAAAGAAAAACGTGTAAGGAGAACTAGAAAGCCCAACATACACAGAGGAAGCACATTCGGAATTCAAACCCACATTTAGGTCTGCTTAGACTACTCTACAGCTATAATTCTCATTACTACAGCCCCAGCCCCTCTTCTTGTCTAAATTCTGTATCCCTCAATGCTATGCATTCAGAACCGAAATGTCTAAGAAAATGATCAGCTTGCTAAAACAGGATATTCTGAGCAGAGGGTACTTAAGCCATTTGTCTGAATGTGTAAATGATTAGCAGTAAGTAATAAACTTTGGAGTTTCAAAAAAAAGATCCTCAAAGCCACCTTAAAGGACAATAAAATTTTGACAACAAAAAATAATAAACATAACTTACAATGAGTGATTCCATGACAATGCAGGAATAATTGAGTTCATTTTGAAGAATACCAATTGAACCTGAGTTTTTAGAATAGATTAATAAACATGTATGTTTCCTTCATACTGACAGACTATGGTTCAGAAAGAAACCACATAACCCAGTCTGTTTGCCTCATTCCACCATCCACCTCAAAGATACTCTAAGGGGAATGGGAACATGCGAATGTAATTTCAAGAAGGACCTTCAGTCTGCTAATTCAGTCGAACAGTCAGCAAAGCAGTCACCCTGAGCTATCCACCGAGATGCACTATCAACTACATACAGGCCAGATGCTCTGACAAAGAAAAGGAGTCAGCGGCACAGAGCTATGACCAGCACGGATGAGGGTTCTGTTTCTAGTCTGCTAACCAGATAAAGGGTTCATAAGAGCTCCTCCTTCGGCATATAAAAAGCAACCAGCATTTAGCCTTCAGGCCTATTTCCCTGGACAGCTGAGCTTCTGTGTGGCACTGCGAGCTGTTGGTGAGCTCCATCACGGCTGAGAACAGTAAAGGGCTACAGGCAAGTTTCAGTGAGGGCGCCTCTGAGCGGGGTGCCACATGGAACAGTATGTCCTCTGCTGGGTGTTGGAGTCTACGCCCATGGACTGTTAATAAGACAGGGTTGTGAGAAGCAGGGAACAGCTGTACTGTGTGGGACCTACTCCCCCTCATGTGCTATCTTCCCACCATACCTGAGCTACCAATGGGAAAGATATACTTGATGCCAGCATAGCTCTCGCGAAGTCGCCACTGAACAATGCAGAGCTTGGCTGGTGCCTTGTGCAACACTTAGGTCTTCCGAATCTGAATGTCCAGCTAACTCCAAGACTTGGTCATGTACCATGGCTCAGGCAATTAACTGTACCTCAAAGTATGTACCATATGGCAAAATATTTATGAGTTATCAACAGAAAAGAATAAATATTTGTCAAATGATTTTGCATGCCAGAATGCATTTTATACTGACATCTTAGCATCCCAATCAGAAGTAATGGGTTTACTCAAAGCTGAGATTTTTCCCAATAGATGGGTTGTGCAGTAAGAAGCAGACCAGTTTATAAAGAATATAGATTCACTAGCATTAATCTCTTCCACACCATTCTTCCGTATCATTGCTGTGTGGTTTCAGCCTGTGTCTAATATCTGATTTCATGATTTTCAATCCTGTCCTTACCATGTTATCAGACATGACTTGATGACATTACACAGATGTTTCTGAAAACCCTCAATACGGGCTTACCCACTGCCAGGAAACTCCTAAGAATGACATGAGAAAAAGCTCACTGGCCAGCATCTCCACCTGACCGTGGCCACCACTGCCAACAACTCCATCACCATCAGACCCTCTCCTCTCCAGTGGACTCCTCAGCAGGCTCTGTCCAGCGTCTGCTCACTGCTGGGACAGTTCAGAATTGGCTGTCCCCAGTAACCCTCAGAAGACATGGAGCTTCAGGAAGCATGGGGTACTAGGAAGTTAGGACACTAAGGGGGGGGGGATTTTCTCTATCAATCATACCCTGCCACTATGCATTGCCCTGTACACACACAAAGCAAGGAGCACAGTGAACGTCTCTGCCTTTTAACAACAATTTTCTCAAGAAAACTGTTCTGCAGGAATGGAAGCAAGCACTGTTTTCCCTTAGTGATTTCATTCTCAAAGCTCTCGGCACATACTTGTATGAATTAGTCCTTGTTGGCATGTCTGTTCTTCACCTACATTCCCATCTCTCTGTTCTCTAACTCCTGATGCCTCACTGACAGCTCAAACTTCCCTAAGCTAAACACACACCCTTCTCTACTAACTCCTTATGTTAACTATACTCAAAAAAGTATGGTGTGCAAGAATTATGCATTATAGTATCAATGCCACCAACCATGCACGACAGAATAAACCTGCCTGACTTATGTATGAATGAGAAAAGCTTTCTGAGCCGCATGCTCTGGGGCAGCACACTACTGCTAGTAAGCACGTCTCAGGAACAGAACACAAGGATCTGTTAGCAGGCAAAGTCAGGGTGGACAGGCTTGTTCTCCTGTAAGAGAGTTGCTCCCGAGACACAAATGTGAAGTTACATCTTAGACTGCGTCAGAATTGCGACCAAGATGCACTTTATAAGTACGGTACTCACTTGGCGAGCTCCTGCATCCCAATTACATCTCTTCACTTCTCTAGTGCTCTGATGCTTCCTGTCTACATCTCTGGTGGATACACGCAGCTAGGATTTAAATGTGCAGGATCAGCACTTACCCCCAGCTCACGGCACTGTTTTAGGAGAGGTGTGGCCTTCAGACCTGAGAGTTATAGCCCAGCTCCACTTCTGGCACAAGAAGTCTTTGCTTCCTGGCGAGTGCCATGTAAAGGTGCTGTAGCCTGCCCGCCATCAGGCTTCGGCCACTGCCATGCAATTTCTGCCTCTTCTTTACATGGCCTCAGTGAGGCACAAGGAAAACTAACTCCTATGTGACACCAACCAATTGGAGGCTGAGATGAAAAACTACTCAAAAGTACTGAGCATACTGGTCATGCTCACCTAACCTCCTCAGCCGTGCAATGGTTTCACTTCTAAAAAAAACAACCTAAGGGGCTGGAGAGATGGTTCCAGGGTTAAGAGTGCTTACTGCTCATTCAATTCCCAACACCCACACGGCAGCTCACAACCACCTGAAACTCTATCCTAGGGGATTCAACGTCCTCTTCTGGCCTCACAGGTTCCTGCACACACAACGTAAACATGATCTCAGACAGGATCACACATGCACATAAAATATGAGACAGAACATTTAACCACCTTATAAACTAGTGTTTGAAAAATGGAGTTCAGAATCAAAGTTACACTGCCCCTAGAATACTGCTGGAGGCCCCAGGGGCGCTGTCAAAGCCATCAGAATACTCGCGCTTAACAGCTGGCCTCCCAGCTTTGTCTCTATGCGAGCTCATTAAGCAGCGCTAAGACATCTTACTATGCTACACCACTTAATGTTCGAGGGCAATGTCACAGACAAAGATGCCACTCTGACCCCTACTGCTTAAATTCTGCACTTTTGAATATGATCAATACACCAGTTTTGATGTTGTGTGGCCTGTGACCTGCTGAGTCCTCTTAAACAGCCTTGAGCTGCTCACATGGCAGACACACTCATGACTGTACCTGCCTCACACAAGTTCGTGCAGTTACAGAGGAAACTAAAGAAACCAAAGATCACAGTCATCCATAACACAGCAAAGCAGGCGTCAACCTTCAGGGCCTGTCATCACAAAGGGAAAACTCGAGCATCTTTTAAGAGCAGGACAGAGCACATTTGCAGAGCTAGAATTCTTTCTCTCCATTAAGCAGCTGTCTGTGCCACTTATTTTTAATCACTTAGCACAATTATTCATGGAAACACCAAGGATTCAAAATAATCTAAATACATACTTGGCAAGGACAGCAGAGGAAATTAGAGCAGCTAGGAGCTGTGAGCTGAAGCCCCAGCTGAGATGCATGGTTTTATGCTCCAAGTTCTCGAAAGATGGCAGACATCTGGAGCTGCTCCAGAGCCTGTGCAGGGCCCACAGATCAGCACTGTCTTCACAGCAACACCATGGTGCTGTCCACCTTTCCAGTGTCTGACATCACAGCGACACCATGGTGCTGTCCACCTTTCCAGTGTCTGACATCACAGCGACACCATGGTGCTGTCCACCTTTCCAGTGTCTGACATCACAGCGACACCATGGTGCTGTCCACCTTTCTAGTGTCTGACATCACAGCGACACCATGGTGCTGCCCACCTTTCCAGTGTCTGACATCACAGTGACACCATGGTGCTGCCCACCTTTCCAGTGTTTGACATCTGCTGTGCATATGCAATAATTGTCGAGACTCGTGCCTGAGCAAGAGCCTATGTGCAGAGCAAACAGGCAAGACTTCCCTCCCGTCCCAACCATGAGCTTGGTGAGGAAGGGGAAAGCAGGAGTCATGTGACAGTACTAAAGGCGCAGTAAAAACTGACGCCTGTATGCTAACACCTTTAAAGCTTGCATGGGATGCATGGTATCAGAAGCGCACATGAAGTGCAGGTTACACTGGTTGCTGTCTCACAGTGACAGTTTTGCTTTAATAGGCAGCTCACAAACCAAGGTCAGTATTACATTTATGCAGACATATGTGTTTACAAGGCCTTTTTTGGGGGAAATGAATGAAGTTCAAATTTCTAATACTTGACAACTCTGCGTGGTGGTGATACTAGCAAGGGTGATTTCTGGCAAGTGATTAGATGTGTTACCATCTGCAGGAAATGCTGAATTCAGTGAACACACTCTAAGTGGTCAGACACTATGCAGGAGTTTAGGTTGACAGGAGGGTAATGTGACACACTCATTTCAGACCTAAGACAGATACAGTGGGCCTCACTGCCTGAGCATCAAGACTTCCTTCACAGGTTCCCAACACTACAGTGTAAGTTACCTTTAAGTAAACTGCCCCTAAATGTGTAGCAGCAGCAGCAGCAGCAGCAGCAGCAGCAGCAGCAGCAGCAGCAGCAGCAGCAGCAAACACTTTGTTCCTTCACCTACAGTCACAGCCATGTGTGTGTCATCTTATGCATGCTTTACCTACAGGAGCTCGGATGCAGAAGTCTCACTAAGCAGATACTAAAGTGAAGTTGAAAATGTTAATCAGTACCATAGTCCTACTTCTGCAAGTACAGGAGGTTTACAAGAAATGTCGCTTGCTATTTTGTCATGGATTTATTACTAATTCACAAACTCTCACTTTTAATTTATAACACAATAAAATACTATACAACCCAAACTTCTTGAGTCCTCAATAATTTCTCAAAATTTGTAAGAGGTCCTGAAGGTTGGAGAGATGGTTCTGTGGTTAAGAGGAAATACTACTCTTAGAGAGAACCAGAGTTCAGCTCTTGGAGCCCAGGCTGGACACCTGAACACCTCTCCACAGCTCAGGAGATCCAACACTCTCCTCTGAACTGTGAGGGCACTTGCTTTAGGTGTACATGTACACACACATACAAACACGAGAGTGCATGTATGTTAAAAAATAAAAACCAATTTTTAAAAAATAGCACGGTCCTGAAATCAAAGTCTGAGCGCCACTCTTTAAGACAAGTCACTCTATGGCCTTCCCCATGAGTCCTGAAATTCGGAGCAGCATACTATTTAAATCCTTCATGCAATAGGTTCTTCACCCCTAACATCACACCTGAAAGAGTAACAAGTGTAAGAATAATTGAAATGCAGCTATAGGAGTAAAAGTGTTTTAATTGTCACTGTGGTAATAAATTAGACTGGTCAAATCTATTTCTTTATCACGGACAAGTATATTTTTTAATAAAGGTCGTAAGTACCTCACAGATATAATCTTTCTCTACTTACTCTAATTATTTTAAAGTGGAAAAGAGTGTAGTTTATACTTGTTAACTGATGCTACCGACATCAAGAGATCTTTGAAAACCACCTCTGTGAATCACAATGTTTAGTTGGCTGTAAACCATTAGGAGCGGTGAGCACAGGTCCCTGCTGATAACCGCATCACCAGGGAACAACCTCAAGATGTTCATTAGTACTCCGGGGGAATTCACAGATCCCAGTCACCTTTCAAGGAACACAGAACTCCATTCTCGTATCAACGTTTCTCGTCTGCTGGTAAGCGCTGGGAAGTTCTGACACTGTGCCAGCTGCACAGCTGACACGCAAACACAAATAGCTACTCTCGGTGTGCTGAAGACACCACGGCACGAGCTAGCTGTGTCCCTGATGGCTGCCCACATGCCATCATAATGAGAAAGTGTGTTCTAATAGTCCTAGGGGACAGATGAGCAGATCTGCCTACACAGACGCTGGACGGACTGTCGGGTCCAGAGAGCATTCAAACCTGAAGCAGACACTTCCACATTACACCAGGTAGGAATTTAGGATCATCTTTGTGCTTTTCCCCTGGAAAACACCAAGGATGAGCAAAAGCAGTCATCTTAGAAAAAAACTTGGATGATACATTATTGTCACCATGAAAGCCAGTAACAATTTGTTCTGAGATTTTATCTGCAAGTAAGAAAATGATAAACAACAGAAAGAAACTCTCAAGCCTGAAATGTAAACACTGACGATACATTGTAGAATGGCAAGCTATTGTAAACAGGCCAAATTTTAGGTATTAAGCTGACATTTATTTTCTTATATGAAGCAGGCTTCCTAGAAGTACCTAGGCTCTAGGCTCCTGGGGTCACTCCAAACTGTGGAAAACCTGCACCCCAAACAAACAAACTTAGCAGGATGCACTGCTTTGGGATCTAAGACTTATGAGACTCAGTGGCATAAAATGTATAAGGTGTTCGGAAGCTTTGCCACTTGCCAAACATCATAATTACAAGAACCAGGGCTTGTCCTAGATCTATTCGAAAGTGGGTGTTTAAGGGCCTGAGGATTTCCTGAGGCAGAGCAACAGCCATTAGAAAGGTATCGGGAGCTCACTGGACTAACAAACCAGAGAACATAAACAATCTCCCTGAGGTAGCAGAGCCCAATAGCGCCTGGGTTTCTGCACTATGCACCGCAGTCGGTCCAGCAGAGTCTGACCAGGAAATCATTCAGAAGATAAGCTGCCACCAGTGTTCTGGGGAAAGGAAGCAAGCCAAGCACTACCTGTAGGCTCAGCCTGTCTTCAACTTGCTTGGTCTTTTTGACTATTTCCTAATATACAACGGCCGGGTGAAGCATTTACTTGAAATGCGGCTAAGACGCGGTGATAAGCGCTGCCACTCAAGCGTTTTATTACAAGCCATAGCCAAGGAAGTCTCAGTAAACATGTCGAATCCCAGCTAAGTCACAGCAATGACTCACTGGTCGTTAGACATTTGCATGTGGTGAAGTTATTGGGGTAAGGCTTCATTTTTCTGTGAGAATCCAGCTCAGATTACAGAGCCTCCAGAACACTTCCCTTGGACCTTCCTCCTTCCTGCCACCAGTTCCACGCTGTAGTCTGTGCCAACTTAGGTACCGGTATTTACCCATGTGGTGACGAGCCTGCTGACACAGGCTGAGAGTTCCTGGGTGGCAGTGACCTTATGTTACTCCATTGAACACTTTCAATGCACAGCGAGACCCAAGGTGTGCTGCGAATAAGTCCAACTCAGTCACAGCTCAGCTGGGTGAGTCTCAGGCATTAACTCTACACGGACTGTCACTAATTCTCAGGGAGACAGACAGTGCTTTAGAAAAGAACACGTCTAAACACAAACACACGCACGCACACATACACGCAAGTACTAACTCAAGCCAGAAGACAAGGTGGATCGACAAACAAACCAACAACAAAACCCTCCAAAACCAAACGTCAAACTTTAAGCCAGTGGGCCACTCTGCCTAGTAAAAAGTGCAAAACAGATGAAGGGGGTCAATTTAAGGTTGACAGCTCAGACAAGCACACTCCCTGACGCCTTCTAGCTTCACACTGACGGTGGCACAAGTCTAGCCCTGGCCAAGTGACTTCAAACGTGCAGAAACTCTTGATCTGAAGGCCCCGTGGCTTGCAGCCGCGGGGTTCGCAGGTCTGCACCTGTTACAGAAAATCCCAAACCGGGGCTTTTGGTGACCGACTGCTCCGGAAGGAGGGGACGGGACCGAGGGCGACACGGACTCGGGCTCCGAGGAGCCGGGGTGCGAAGGTCGGGGAGGCCGCCCGCCATCCCGTCCGCCCGCCCGTCCCCGCCGCACTCACTCAGGCTCGCGGGCGGACTGCGCAGTCGGCCGCGGGCTCGGAACCCGG